CCCCAAAACCCCAAAACCCCATAAGATTATTAATATATAAAATTTGTAGAATTATCAATTAATAATTGTAAGATTAGGATTTAAACCATACTAAACAGCGATTGCTTTTTATAGAATTATATAAGATCTCATTAAAGTCATAAACTATCTTTTATTCTCATTACTTATCATCTTCTTGAGAGTAGTCCTCTTCATCATACTCGAATGATCCTTCATTCTCATTTTCTGAAGCTCTTTTTTCTGAACCATATTCATCCTCAAGTGATGGTTTAATATTTTTACTAGTACTGTTCTTTTGAGCTGTTTAGTTGTTTGATTTAATATCCTTCTATTCCTCGCTTGGCTTAGGATAGAACTAGCTAACATGATGGTGGTCCTCAAAGTTATTATCTTAAGAGTGTTCACTAACAGACTTCTTAAATGGCTATTATTCTTTTTCTAATTCAAGTTCGTAGTCATCATGCAAGATAGCTTAGGGCTTTTTATTAGTACTTTGCTAGAGATTCTTCTGGGATGAGTTATATAGATGCTTCTACTCTTTGGGCAGTTACGAGGGTTACTGCTGCTGTTGCTACCTCTATAGACTATTGAATTAATTCTTTTACTCTGAGATGTCAGTTCTTTGATGCCTTAATTCGCTCATTGAAGTAGCCTTCTCGATTTCAGTGTTATTTCCATCTTCTATGCCATCATCACTGTCCTCATTATTTTCATGTTCTTCCTACACCTAATAATCTTTGTTCCATTTATCTTGCTTTCTTTGATGGTTTTAAAGGAATCCATCCATATTGTATATTGCCTGGAGGTCATCTTCTTCTGGTGTTCGGTGAATTGCTTGTGCTTTTTGATTAATAGCCATGTGCTTTTTGGTAGCCAATTATTTGATCTCCTTCTCATTATGAACTATCAGAGCATCAGCCTCTTCTAATCTTTTTCTTTATAAAATCAAAGAAGCTTCCTTCACTTTTAGGTCTTTTGACTCTGTTGCTAATTACTTTCTGTTCTTATATACTTTAAAGATGAAAAAGGCAGTGACAGCCAAGAATAAGATGAAGAAGATAGTAAAAAGTGCAACAGCAACTTGATATTTTTCTTTGAAGTCTAGATCAGTCACTTGGTCGTCAACTACATACTCATTTACAATTACAGTATTATTTTTCTAAGTTTCTGGATCAGCATCTATTATTATCTAACTTCTAGCCTTAATTTCATTAGTCAAGCAATTTGACACAGCATAAAAATTGAAGATATTTATTGATGCACCTTTGGTAAAGTCAATGGTAGTGATGGATGGAGCTTAAGCTGGATCAAGGATAGAGGTAAAATCTAAGACTAAAGTAGCATAGTCATTAAGGTCTTGCAAGACAGCAGAATTTTGGTAGGCAGAAACAATTAAAGTCATTGTATAGCAACCGTCATTTTAAAGTATATTAAAAGTTTATTGGCTCGATACTTTTGTATATGGGTAATCATTTTGAATGATGTATGCATTAACAGGCCATGATGATAAATTTTATGAAGAATCTATGCTAAAGTTAGCACATATTTCAATCTAGTAATCTGAACTTGTGGCAATAGTTTCCAACTTTACTTTCAACATTGCATTCTGGTCAGACTTTATGTTTTTCATATCAAGTTATAAGGTAACATCATTGGCATTAATAAATGGAAATCTCACATCAACATTACTTTTTTGGCTTGTTTCAAAAGTCCAATCATTCTTGTTAAATGATAAAAGGTTAGATTACACTACTAAGTTAAGTTGCCCGATCAAATCCTCAGAATCTGCTTTTGGTACATATTTGATTTATGACTGATGAATATTACTAGAAATTTCTCTAAAAGTTGCCCAAGCTGGAGGATACATAGTAGAAACTGAGGAAAATTGTTTTAAAGTAGATTCTTAAAAGTCATTCTACTCTTTAACGATACCAGCATTATCAGTGTACTTATAATTAGAAAACTATGAGAAGTATACATCTTCAGGGTCAAATGATTGAAATTCTCCTCTCAGGGCTGTCTGATCTAACCATGATCCGATGTGCACATTAAAAGATTCAGGGAAATTGGCAAGTGCATTATCTATCTGGGAATCAACTTATTCGGAATATTCATTAGAATTGAATACAAGCTCATAAGTTGTCACTCCCATGTAGACTTCTAGTTTATCCTTTTTGACTATTTTGAAATTATAGAGAGAGCCATCAAGCACAGAGCTATCATCAATTCCAGTTAAATTTGCAATATCAATTGGATAGTCTAAGAAGAATGAATTTGCCTAGTCATAAACCTAGAGGTTAAAAACTCTATTTCCATATGTGCTATTATCAAAAAGTAGTTGAATAAATTAGCTTTAAGGATTTGATCCATCATCAGCCAATCCGAATGCAGTGACAATACCATTGATCATAGCAGGTTTTATTTTGAATTCGAATTCTCCTGATGTGTATTGATTGTCAGATATCACTATTGAACTTGCTCCTCTTGCGCTACATCTATACTAAGGAAGAACATAGGAGTTAATTTGATCAACTTTTAGTAAAGATAAAGCGATAAATATTGCTGCAAATTTAGTGAACAGCTTCTACTTTGAATGGTAAGTAGCTAATTTCATAGTATTTCTATTTTCTTTCAAATTTATATAATAAGTTTGAAATCTACATATTATTTTACTATCCTCAACTAATAATTTGAGCCTCCTGGGGTTTTGGGGTTTTGGGGTTTTGGGG